AATCGATGCGTCCAGGGAGAGTGATTGATTCCTAACCAAATGTAATCATATCACATACCATTAAATGCAGTGTGCCAGGGTTTACATGCAGCAGCTGTCACCTGATCATTAACTTAAATGGGTGACAGCTGCTGCTTGTAAAAGCCAGATTAGGCATTCCTGCTGCAGGAAAACACAAGTTCCTGATGCAGGAATCCCTAATTGAACCCTCAACTTACAGGTGTGAATGGAGCCTAATAGGGCCCCCTTATACACATAAAAAATACTACCCCTGTACATATAAAATACACCCCCCACATATAAAATAATAAATTACAATCCCCGTATATATAATAACACAACCTATTCCCCGCACACCCACATATAAAATACAGAGCGCCCTTTCCTACTTACCTTTTTGCAGTGAGGAGGCAAGATCGCTGGTGATCTAGCAGTGATTAGTAAGGTCTGCTGCAGACCTCATTAATCCATCCTTTCTTTCAGCCGGAGCTCAGAACTGAGCTCCAGCTGAAAGGATCTGAGTGACGGGAGCAGCTCTGCGGTCTGCATCCGACAGTCATGCAGAACGTCCAGCTGCTCCTGCTAGTCAGGTACATGGTCTGTGAATGTGTACCTGACTTGACAGCTGGCTGCGGGCCACATAGTACCGGCTTGCGGGCCCGGACTTTGAGACCACTGATTTATAATCTTTTCTAGATTGTGGAAGAAATTATTCCTCTCTTCACATTTCTTTCCTTTATTCTGTGACATATCAGAGGGATGCCGCTCTACATGAGATAGTTGCTTTTAATTTTATCACTTTTCAGGAGGAATGAAGCATTGTTTCATGAGCTGCAATGCTACCAACCAATTTGTTCTCGTCTAATTTTTCATATGACTGTATGCAGGTCAGGAGTTTCAACTTCACTCAGACCTTGTAATCTGTGTTTGTGTTCCAGGTCAGTAATCAAAGTTTGTGACGGCCAGGCATCTGGTATTCTTAGGAGTTATTTCTCTCTGTACAGGTTTCCTTTAAGCACGCAGACAGAGCCTGTTGAATATTATAAAGCGTAACCTAGCCTGCTGAGTGTTTTTAAGGTTCAGTTTCATGCCTTTTGTCTTCTGCTTGGCTTTGAAAGTAAAGTGGTTGAGTAAAATAACCGAAAATAGCTGGGTAGGTTTATTTTTCACATTTTATTTAATAATAAAGAATAGAACATTCAAAGTGTTCACTGGTAATTCAAGAAAGAAAACATTCAGTCAGCATGAGGGTAAAATGGCAAACATACATGTCATTTCCCTAATACGCTACTGTTTGGCGTCATGTGTACGAGAGGTGAAAAGGCTACTGGTGTGACATTGTCGTGTATTACATGACTGATCAACAAGCTATTCACATACAGAAGTGTGAGCTTCAATCCTCATCTATGGGGTAGGGTGAGATGAGTGTTTCACCCATTCACAGAGTGAATATATGTTTACAGAAGTTTAGAAGGTGAAAAGTGTCCTCTATAAACCCTACTACCTACATTATTAGTGCTGCAAGAAAATGTGTAAAAGGAGCGGTCATTAAAGGTCCACTACTGAGAAAATTGAGATTTAGGTGTCTAATGTATACAGCAGTATACAGAATACCTGCCTTTTCTGCAGTTATTCCTGTAGTGCTCCAGGCCCCACCCCCACCACCATAAAAAGCCCTACTGCCAACAACCTGGTGGTGTCACTGAGTTTTCCTTGGTGTGAATTTCTGGTAGGGAATTCTCAATCCTGACCGCTGTTGTGTTATCTGTACTAGGAGGATCGGCACATGTCATAATCCCCCTGCAGCTTACATTGTGTCTTCTCTGGCATCCTTCTTTTCTGCTCCCGCCACAAGCTTTTGGCTCCCCATGAGCTATTCTCAGACCTACCAATCCCCCTCCCCCCCCCCCCCCCCCCCCTGCACTGCACCTGACCCTGCCTACCTTGTATGTGGCCTCTTCTGCTGTAAGCATGAGACCAAGATCATGCTGACATTTAGGTGGGAGTGGGAGGGGTTCTTTTTTTGTAAATAAACTACCTTGTATTGTCACCAGTGCTGTCTTTGTTCTCTATAAGAACGTGACCACACTTCCTCTTCCACTCTTTTCCAGTAGAAAGGGCTGCATTAAAGTGCAGCCAGATTGCACTATGATTTAAATGCATTTACCAAACAATGAATCCTCACTGGCCCCTTTTGGTTTTAACACTTTGCCTTCTTGATTAAGTCCGTAGGTACTTAACAATTGAGAGAAGGATTGCTGCAGATGACCAGAATCTCAAAGTGTGGAGGGGTTACGGGAGTTAGAGTCTAAAGTGGGGCCTTCTTTTAAAGGAAACCTTTGTGACAAAAATATGGGAGATGGCAATGTGGCCCTTTTTTTGAAAATGCTAGTTGCCTCCCAGTCATGCTCGCCCTCTGGTTTCAATATGTTGTGACCCAAAACAAGTAAGCATTTCTAGGACTCTGACTTCACTTGCCAGATGCTTTTTCAGAGTTAAAGACTCATAAAGTGCTGGAGCCAAAAGATCAGCATGACAGTCAGGCATGGATTATTTTCACAAGATGCTTAGCAATGGCAGTCCAGGTATTGCTCTCAGGACAGACTCCCTTTAACTGTGACACTCTGAATTATGAGAGCACCATGTACTGGCTGTCAGCACATGAAGCAGAAAAAATGGACACTTGTCCAAACACTATGAATCATTGATCATAGCAGGAAGTAAGACCTCTCTATGGCCCCACATAAATCAGATTCCAACTTTTTGACACTAGTGCGAGAATCTGGCTATTGGGCATTAGACACTTAAATAAATGAATCCTACTGTACAAAAGGGTGGCTTGCTGTTGAATCACTTATGGTCCCCTAATGATCAGGGGCAGTCTTCAGATATGAGAAGACATTCAGCTAGTGGACCAGTATAGCATGAGTTCAGGGGGTTCTTTTTGTTGCTGCACACAAAGGTCCAAGATGGTGGCTAAAAGTTCAAAATATATGGACCCCACCCATCCTTTAAAAGAAAAGTTCATCACTCAGAATAATTCTTCTTTTGTTGTTATATATTATAAGATATAATTAAGCTTTTTAGCCATAGTTTTTACCTTTTAGTCTCGAGGAACATACAAAACAGGCAATTAAAATCTGTAGCACTATTCCAACAAACACAATTGATTTGTGTATCAGTTTTTGACCCCCAAACAAAAGCTTAGCCCTGCATTTCACACATACAGAAAAACCGCAAATAGCAAAGCTCCAACTGAAACTTGTTAACCACCAGTAAATCTTAAAACCCATAGTCAATTGTAAAACGATAAACCAAAACCAGCGTCACGTCTTTTTGTCATCTATTATCACAACCACCACTCACAGAAGAATTTTCCTGCTACTACGACAAACTAAGGTATAAAAAACATCCAAAAATATCCAATGTTTTACATTCCAATGTTGGATTTGTATTTGTTATTGCAAACAGGGGATGTATATTTTCACCCGTGCTTGGGCTACGTCGATAGATTCATCTGCCTCAGCAGAAAATGGCATGTGCTGGATAAAGTGGAACCATTTAAAAAAAAAATAGGGTTGGTTTACTAAATTATGGGCTGTTCCCTCAGCAAAGTAAATTTTCACTTAGCTTAGTGAAGGAGGTGAAGTTGTGCTATTTTCAATCATCCAATAATTTGTTTAATTCTCATTGCATGTGATGTTTTTTAAGGTCATTACAACTTCACATAAATTACTCTAAGCTAAGTGAGACTTCACTTTGAAAAGTAAACATGCTCTACTTCATTAGTAAATCAACCCCATTAAGCTGAGTGTATTATGGTATAATGCCTTTCCAGGGTTAGGTGTTACAATTGCAGAAATTATCTTTCATTATTTTATGTGTAATTCTAAACACTAAAATGTTCTTTTTGGATTGTGTCTAAATTCCAACTACTGTCTCTAGAGGCCTTTCTACTCCTTGACTTACCCAATTGATTTACCCAATTAGATGCAAAAGCAAAGCATGGATGTGTAAGATATATAACAGGTGATATAAGAATCTGCATGCCTCCCAAAGCTTTCCAATTTTAAGTGGATGTAACCTATTAATGAACTATCGTTTGCTTCTCATTTAATTGGGCTGAATGCATACAGCACATAGGACAGCTATAGGTCCAATGAAGCCTTTACATGGTGTAAAAGCAAGTTTGGGGCAGAGATGTATTTAAAGTGTAAATCCAAAACTTTGAGTATTTTTTAGAATTGTTAAAGGGTTAGGCAGTAATGCAAATCTGACAAAGGTTCTATGTCCCCATTTGAGAATGTCACCCTCATTACTGGTCATAGTGGCTACTGTATCCCATACAGAAGGTGATGGGAAAACCAACATTTTTGAATTCTCACAGGGAAAGGAAGTAAGAGGAGATTTTCCTATGGGAAACCTGTTCTGATGCCATCTGTCTAAAGGTGCCCATACACCTTGCAATCATCGGACGAAAATCGAACCGTCGTACGATTTTCGTATGACGGCTCCATCCTGCCCCAACCATCGCACAGTTCAATGAGCGGTCTTTAGTAGAAATCACCTGGACGAATTTCGTTAATTGACCTCACGGATTTTCCTTTGCGCATGAGCAGTGTTAATCGTATGAGGTTTGTCGTATGGAAACGCCACCAACCTTGCGAAAATCGTACGATTCGACAGAAGTTTTCTAACCTGCTGGAAAGTCAAAAGTCGTATGATTGTACAGTATTTGCGGTTGTACACTGCCCATCAACCGTACGAATATCGGACGAAAACGTGATCGCAAACGAAAATTGCCCGATATTCAAAAGGTGTATGGGCACCTTTAGAGGGGATTTCCCCTACCTTTTTAGGGATCTCCTCTTATTTCCTCAGGTGTCTCTGGGACTGGAAATTAAGGGAAGTCTCCCAAATGGTACGCAGATGGCAAAAAAAGAAACCTGAAATGGTCTTAACCATTCCCTACTCTATCCAGAACTGAGGACCAAAACGTTTTTGAACAGTGCAGTTACTTAGTTCCACTTTAAAAAGAAAACAAGCTCGGCCGCCATCTCTGGGCAAAACCAGTCAATAATGTTGTACTTGTTTGGTCCTCTAAGTCACATCGTTCTACTTAATGGAAAAATAAAAAAGTATACACCAAATTTTTTTGCTCCTAGCTTTGACTTTTTCTCCTGTAAATAACTTTCAGTCAATGTATCCGCATTGTTTAAAATAATTGTTACAAAAAGAGATAATAAGCAAGCCTTCCATGTTATGAAGTTATTAGTTAGCTAGGTTGGATTTGCCAGCTATTGATGTACCATTAACATTCTGTACAGGTATGTATGCACAGCGATATCAGTAAACAGAAGCGCACTTTTTTTTTTTTTTTTAAACATAATACAAGTAATTTCTAAATGAACCTTAACTACTTGACTGCCAGAGCGACAGAGAAGTGAATCGTGTTTTTTTTATTTTTTTTTAAGTTCCTTTTTAGTTCCCTTCGACATAGGTCAACTGTAGCTTGGCAGCTAAGCGGACTTTTGTGAGGCTTCTGTCTCCTGCTCAGATAGCTTCTCCTCCGACAGAACCGTCATCCATGGTGATACAGAGCGTGTGATGGTCTGCTTGGCCAGGTTGTAGTGGTTTATGACTGTGTAGAACTTCCCCTGGGTGCTGGGGTCTTGTTCGGTGTAGTAGTTGTCCAGGGCTGCAGGAATGCATCGATTGTTCTGTAGAGGGATGGAAAGAGGTCAGTTAGTAATTTGAAGATGTTTTGGCTATTTGGCTTCTTGAGAAGAAAAAAAAAATGTTAGGAAGGAACCCATATTATGGTGCGAATCTGACCCACTGTGCACTTTTTTCTGTGTCTACAGAAATAGAAATACAGATGGCTATGTATGTTCCGAAAACAAATCACTTATGGAAGGTCCTGTTTAGTGGTCTTTCATTTCCAATGAAAAGTCAAGTTGAGTTTGATGTCTGAACCCTTATTTGGAAAACTTAAAGGAATGATTGCTGGGAAAGTGCATTCTCCAAGCACAACCACTGAGGGGTCTTTTTTTTTATAAAAGGGGGACCCTTCTCAACTACTTGTTTGCCACTTAACTGGTACTGTATGTAGCATGTGCTAAGTTAACAAATGATTCCCACCGTTTACATCCACAAACCATCTCGGATTTGTATTCATGTTCTGGAGATGGATAGAAGGTGAGGACTTCCAAAGTTATTTTCTTTGGAATATTGACTATCCCAAGTTAGCACACAGGAATGAGCGCAAAGCTAAATGGATGACTAAAGTCTTGGTGCAAGAGGGATATATTTTTAATTGGGCTGACTTTTCATTGGAGTAGAACATATATGCTAAGGATGGTTTGTAAATTAATGGAAAGGGATCTGTTGTGTTAATGGGAGATTTACAACATTTGAAGAGTACTTAAACTAGGTTTGTAAGGGGAGGGCACGTTAGAAAATAAACACTAATGGAAAGTGAAATGCGGGGAATGGTGTACCCCCAAGGATCAGTTTTCTGATCATTTTTACATTTATAAATCAATAGAGCAGGTGTAGGCAAACTCGGCACTCCAGCTATATACATACATACATTTATATACACTTTATATATATATATATATATATATATGGTTTGTATACACTTTAACTGAATTGAATTTATTTTCCCTTGAGAAGAAGCCATTTACAAACGTGGTCCATATAGTAAATTCAGTGCTGTGTTAACTGGTCATTGCACACAGGCATTCTTTGTGGCAACCTCTGCATACAGAACTGATTTTTACTGCAAGAGTTGTGGAAATGTGGAACTGGTGTTATAACTACTGGTTGCATACAGCTGTCGGGGTGCAGCGAGGAGGAATATGAAGCTTACAGAGGTACATGAAGGCATATACTTCATTATATCCCACATGTACATGAAGCCAACCAGATCAGTTAAAAGATAAGAGCAAAGGGAAGCTGTAACTTCAGAGAAATGTTTCATATCACACCGGGCTAAGCACGGCCTAAATATATGTACATCCAGTATATGCACATAATCAAATGAGAGAGATCAAAGTTTCATTTACACCAGTATTTTGTTTTCTTTTCATACGGTGAATCCCTTTCAAGAAATCGTTTTCATCTCTCTCAGGGTTTGGTACAAAGCAGGCAGTAGAAAGTATTATGTGCTCTCTACAACATTAACTTTGTGTCTTTAAAATAGGCCTAATTAGTACAGAATGTTCTGACATGCACTTAAAATATCTGAACTAATTAATATCCCACAATACACAAACGGAGAGGCTGTGCTCTGCTGCTCTGGAGTCTGCTAAGGACATTAGCGATGGCCTAATCTCATGGAATGGTGAGTACATGCCCGCCTTGGCTGAGCCCAGCGCCAAGTTATTCCTTTCGTCTAAGCTTTTCTTTTGCCCATATGATACAGTGAATGTCTGCAAGCAAATGAACCTCATTGTAAAAACTAGTGCTGTATCCTTCTTACTCCATCTGAAATGTTCAAATATCAGTCTCTGGAGCCCACTGGAAAGCTTCTAGAGCCAGTGTTGGGTCGTTATCTCACAATATCCTCAGAGTTACTAAAGGATAATATGAGAATATTGATCCAGGCAACTCATCCAACTGCTCTTCCGCTGTCTGGAAAGTTTATTGGCAGCAGTTGGCCAGGAGTTTTTGTTTTGCCTTAGAGGAACACAAATGACAGACCTGTAAGGCTGATGTAGATGGATTGGAGTCTTTTTCAACATAAACATGCAACTGTATAATGGCAATGGCACAGCTTCTAGAATATTAGGTTTACCTATTTGGATGGATTCACGTGGGTGGCAAAAGGAGGCACTTGGCAGGCTACTTTGACCTATGCCAAGTGCCTCATAAATGACCTTGGTGAAGCAGTGTTCATGCATGTCCAGTTGGACCATTGCTCCCCTGATGAATAGTGCCCTGATTAATGGGACTAGATGCTCTTCTGCACCCATGTGAATCCAGCCTTTTACATCAGAATGTTACCGAGATGTAGCCTCCTGTCTGCTGGCTGTCGATAGAATTGGGATGGACAGCATTAATCTAAAGTACAGAAGACTGAGTATTGTATGGAAATTAGTAGCGATGCACCGATACCAAGTACAGTACTCGGTAGAAGTACAGATACTTTTCCAGCTCCAAGACTAGACTAGAGAACAATTCAAAGGTTAGGAGGCCGCTGTCATGTGTAAGGAGCACACGGAGCTCCTGGGATGTGTACATCTCTGTTTTAATGTACGATTTTGTTTTTATAAACATATATAAAGGGATGCACCGATACCATTTCTGCAAGTACAAGTACTGGTACTTGCCCAAGTACTCACAGATACAATTACTGATACATTTTTGTTTATTGTCATGTGACAATTTTTCTAAAACAATATCGACTAATGCTTTCAGGACAGTGGTGGAGCACCTGAGCCAGGTCCCAGCTGCAACCGCTGCAACCCGGGTAGTTCTCATGAAAATGCCAAGTATCGGCACTGGTATCAGTGCATCCCTAGAAATTAGGGGCAGTGTTCCTTCTTGACTGTTTGTGAGCCTTTAGTGACTAGTACAGCGAATGGCGCAGGGTCTCCTTACTCTACTCTGTTCGACAACAGCAGACAACTGATGGTGGCTACAGCACCACAGCGAGCATTGACAACTCAATGCCTGCTGTATTAAAAATGGATTTCTGAAAACTGGACATTATTCTTATTGGAGGTACCTCAGGGCTTTTGTTCATTTTAGAACTTTTCTTTACTTCTTATGCATATCAACGGGAATGCAAAAGAAGCTTGAAGCAGGTCAACTGCACCTGCACTGAATTCTGAATGGTCTCAAACTGGTGTCAAACACAAGCCGCATCTGCAAACCTAACCTCAACACTTTACATGAAGGGGTTCAATCTCCTCCTACAATCTCCTCCAACACCTATTGTAACTACCTCTCTGTAATTCATGTGCTACCAATAACATTCAGTCCAGGACAGGTCTGAAGACTCACCAATCAGCCCAGTTCCTGTACTCATATTGGCACATGCTGTGTGTAGACTGCCATTATTTTCAATGGCCAGACTGTAATAGTGGGGGGAACAATGTGAGTCTACATTATGGCAGGACCAGACAGTAGTAAGATTTCATCTGAGCAGAGGTATGTAGCTATTTTCATGGTTTTGGTGCAGAGGGTAAGGGAGGTGGTTCTACATCTCTCATTAAGAATGTGTACTTATCCTTTTTTTGTAGCACATCCTAATAATATTGATTAAAAAAATGTGCTGATGTAGGACTCTAGGTGTTGAGAATGTTCTGTTGACAGAGGTGCTCAGTTTCATGGCTTGTACTTGCTGCAGCTCCCAGTTTTCTTACAAGGCGTTAGACCGGTTCTCTTGCTTCAGCCAAGAAGCTGGTACACACCTTTGTTAATTTTCCTTTAGCTCCCTGCTATCAGTTACCTGCAGTGTGTCTGATAACAAGCTGTCTGCATACTGTTCATTAGCTAGAGAGCGGTGATTTATTGATGGAGCACTGCAGATATTGCAGCTGACATTGACTGATTGGAATGTTAGGGAGCAGTGAGAGTGGACATGTCTGGGAGCATACTGAATAGGTCCAATGAAGACAGAGAGCGGAAGCTGATACATCATGTAGGGATACATTATTGGGCTCATACATCATACTGTATGAGAGATCCTTAATTCTCCAGTACACGATTGATATATAGAAGCATCTTTGTCCTGTCTAATAATTGGAACAGATTAGAATGAAATATTTCCATCGGCTTAAAGTGAACCTGTCTCAAAGTAAAGCCTATCAAGATGTATATAGGCAATGAGAAGAAGGCACAGAGAAGAACATTGGGGGGAAATTATCAAAGCAGTTTGTTCAGTTACGATTTAAAAATGAAAGCGAGAAGCTGATTGGTTGTCATGCACAGCTGCTCCAGATTTGGTCTGCTCCGCTTTTGATAAATGCCCATCATTGTGTTTTCTGATATTCATCCTCCTAAGGGCCACTACATTTCAGTGCTTGGTATGTATACAGTCCAGGTGTGAGATCAGAGCACTGACAGGTCCATTGACATCCCGCAATGAAGGCTGCCATGGCCCTCTGACAACCAGTCTCAAGGAAGACATTGTGGGGGCATGTCAGTGTCTCCCCTTACTTCAGAAAACAACCAGCGATCTTCCAGGTACCTCTTGGTGGCTGCTTGTCAATGGTAATGTTGGCTTGATGAAATTAAGTTGAAACCTCTTCACCTTTAAAAAGGACTCTGTGTAAACAAAAAATGGACCCTTGCAGTGGGGCCACCTCCTCACTGCAAGGCCTCACTCACACTAGAAACGGCCGGCACGTACAGCTCCGTGCTGTGTGCACATGCGTATCGGGCAGCTCCCGGGAAGGACAGGCGATGCGTGCGATTAGTACGCGGCCCCTGACCTTCTCTATGGGATTACGCGGCCGTATGCCGCCCTACGCTCACCCCAAGTGCAGGTCCGTGCGGGTGCTTGTGTCCTGGCTCCGACGCAGACAGGATCCATTCTGTCAGCATACGGTCGTGCAGGGCGGGTGAGCATAGGGCGGTGTACAGCCACGTAGTCCCATAGAGAAGGACAGGGGCTGCGTACTAATCACACGCAGCACCTGTCCTTCCCGGGAGCTGCCTGATACACCCGTGCGCTCAGCACGGAGCTGTACATGACGGCCGTTTCTAG